CCATTCCTTTCATTGCATAACATTAAGAGTTCTCCCCCCTTTTTTTTTGTTAAATATTTTTGGCAGTTTTCAAAGGTGAATTTATGCAAAGATCAATCTATGGAGTAGATTTGTCGAGCCATACATAGTATCCCTTGATTAATGATTCCATACTCTGATCCAATTCTTGTACTACCACTTTGATAGTTTCAATATCTATATAATTCAGTAGTATTCTTCAGTAAATGAAGTATCTATCTTGTTATGAAGTATTCACGCACAGGCTCATTCCAATCAATCTTTCCAAATGGAACAACATCACTCGCTGGCCTTCTAAGGCTGAAACCTGAATGTATGATATATACAAGGTATGTCTTATGAATGTGTACAATTATGATTTTTATGAAGGGTACACTTTTAAACTGAATACTTTGCATAATAAGCATTGAGCAAGTTTTTAATTACACAAGTATTATTGGGGGCACATGTATGAATACAAGTCATTTGCAAAATGACACCACAATAGTCTCAATATCACAGCTTAAAAACAGAAAATAAGTCCATAACTGTTTCAAAGAAAAATGTAAAAATACAATGCAAAAATTTATTCCATCATAAAAAATGTGCCCACCACCAGTGCTTGAGCAGTAAAGTTGCTCAAAGCTGGTAGTTTGACCTGACAATTCTAGGTAAACAGATTGGCTGCATGTGTAATGAGGATACGAGTGAGTGTCTTTTAGAAAGTCCTCTATGAAAGCATGCTTCTGCTTATGCAAATAGCTCTCACATACTTTGCCATAAACAAATCATGCAGACCAAGCCAAATCAAATTAAAATAAAAATGAAAATCACAATAAAATAAGTCAAACTATTACTAAATAAGTAAATTAAAAAGTATGTAATTTGAGTTTAGCTGTAATTCTGTAAAATGTCCTATGCATTATATGTTTTTTTCAAGAAGGGGGGCAATTAGCTAATCTAGAATCAATATTATTTTTAAACTTAGTTGAATAACTGTATTGCTCTTACATGTTTCATTATTTACATGCCTTACAGATTTTCTATGCCTCATTATTTACATAGCTTACAGGTGTTAAATGCCTCATTTTGTTTTTATTTGGTAAAAAGGGGGATAATAAATTTCATTGCAAAACATTTTGATAGGTAGTTATGTATATGACTTATGATATGAACTCTATATTCAACTATCATATAAATACTATTCCTAATATACATAAAATTTAATTTTTATTTGCCTCTATAGTCAACCCTCTAAGGTATAATATAGCATGGCTTAAGTAATAATTTTCATAATACAATGTATTGTGGAATGTGAAACATGAATACAGAAACATATTAAGTGCAAAGAACATAGAGAATAAAATGCCATTTTAATCATAGATATTTACAAGAAATAATGCTTGATATTTATCAGAATTGTTCAGATGAACTGTTACTAACTGCAATACATGCATCACAATGACAAAGAAGTGATTGGCATATACTTTGAAAGCTATTCAGCAAGTCTCTGCTGCAGTGATGCTAATTGGCTGACAAGGTCTGCAGTAGAATCAATCTCTGTTTCGTAAACAAGATCCACTGTCATTGTAATGCATGAAGTTTGCATTATCTATTTGTACAATTCATTTATAATAATTCTCAAATATCTTGCTGTAATCATAAACAATTACCAAGGACTTCAGTTTACTTACTTAATTAAATAATAAATCATGAAGGAAATACTACTGCAAAATTTTCACTATCACATTCTGTAAGTTGGAGATGATTTATATTTATGACAATTAAAATCAAAAATGAAACAAACTATTTTTAGTTTATTCTTATAGCATTTAAATCCACTTTTATTATTAACTGCATACAGCATTATTTTATGACATCAGGAAATATTAATTTATTAAAATTTATTGAGACTTCTCAGTTCATAATGCATTATATATATAAAAACTATAAAGATGAGGAAATGTTTAATGCAAATTACTCTTTCCATTACATAATGCATGTAACTAAATATGTGTTTAAATACTACAAAATATGTATCCTTCTAGCAGGTTTAATGAAATTTTTATATTTATACTGCAGTTAAAAAATGAAATACCATTGCATTTTTCGAATTTTGAACAATTAAGACTTGAGAGCATTATTACCATGTCTAACAGCACACAAATTTATCGCATACATATTTCTAAAAAGTTATTATTATTTCTAATTCGTACAATAAATACTAAAAATATTAAATGTGCTATAAACTAAATATCAGACTGAGGCTACAAATGTCCCAGAACAAATATACTGCAAATATGTTTAGTCTGAGAACTTAGGTCTGTTTAAGCCAGATATTTCTAGCAACTGTGAAGTAAAACTGCCACTCTATAGGCAAATTTAAAGTTCCTCTGAATTCAGATTACTGTACTGTAACTATGAATATGATATGAACACATTGACTTATTTTATTGCACTACGATATGAAAGCACACATTGCAAGAAAGAAAGTACAAGAAAATGTTTATAGATTACTTGCAATCAAAGCACATAAAATAAATACGAAAAAGCTATAGAATAAACCATGTTTGAACATCGATGAGTACAGGGAAGCATAATAAAGCAAATGAAAACAGAAATAAAGCATTAAATAAATATTTACAGGTGCAAGACACTTATTTTTACATATATTATCAATATTTTATTCAATTATGTGCTATTTCTAATTTAATACTCTTTGCTTGATAAGCAAACAGCAAACATAATAATATTTTCCGAATACGTATCCCGATCTGCTGCTACGGATAATCCCTTAGCAGGGAAAAAGTATCACGCTGTCCTCCTAGAAGTACGTCATCGGATGACAACCATAACGTGGTCTACCATAATAAGCCGTTTCTCCCCGTTGGCGTTAAGGCTATCCGGTTATCTCATATGGTTTCCTCTAAAATCTCGACATTTTATACAGACTCGAAAAAAAATCTTAAAGGTGGCCGGGAAAGAAGCCCATATTTTTACGAAGCTGGTTTTTACAAATTAAATACTGATCTCCATGATCAGACCTTATGCCGGAGAACCTTAGAAGCTTAGTTTGCGTGGATCGTGGTCGACTTGCATAGGTATCCTATTCTATATGCAGTACCCAGTGAGATCTATGTTCACTGACATCATGAAGATCACTGATTAGGAAATAAAATGGTGTTCTCACGGCCTGATTTTTGCAAGACTAAATAAAGCTAATGCGTATTTCTCCACACCATAAACTCATCCCCCAAAAAGAGAAGGGGGAAAACATATACCACCATTGACAAATCATGGTCACACTAAATTACAGTAACCTAATTTGGCTTTGATAGATTCACTTTTGCAGCAGTATTATCTCTTTTTATTCTAATCTTCCCGTTTATAGACAAGTCATTCTCTTCTACAAACATTAAAAATGACTACTACTATACATTACTAAGACGTCACAGTGAGAGGAGGGGCATGGGCACGGAGTATAATGACATCGTGCTCATGGAGAATGTAACCGAAAGGCAAACTTGACCTTCAGTTTTGCCCGTTTTAATTATTGCGGCTAATTTTTAACGCGATGCCTTGCGGCAAAAAGACTTTTACTGAGGAGGTAAAAATTCTATATTTTTGCTTACAGGTGCTTGATTATCATTAAGTGTACATTCGTGTGAAAATTTTATTAATTGTTATTAAAATATGATTTAACCAGACTTATGTTTATGTACCAGGAGGCAAAACTTCATATATATGTAACGCGTATGTTTTTGAAAATCTCTTTTTACTGCCATATTTACCTGCGCTGTGAGAGGACCCTCACCTGTTTGGTATATATTAGAAAGCCCGTTGCAGAGTAGCATGATTTAGTTTTTCCATTACATACAATGGAGAAACCTCATATATGTGATATATGTGACAAATCATTTATACGAAAGCATTCTCTAGTTAGGCACAAGCTTATTCATACGGGAGAAAAACCTCATGTAGTGCTCTGTCAAATCATTTAGTGCAACACACATGCGTATTCACACAGGAAAGAAGCCTTATGTGTGTGCTACTGGTAGTGTCGTTCCATATAAGATTACTAGGGATCATATGCATGTCCACACTGGTGAGAAACCATACATTTGTGAAGTATGTGACAAACCATTCAAGAACAAGAAGGATTTAGAGATGCATAAGTGTTTCCATACAGGAGAGTCATGTTTTGATGTATGTACAATCCTTTCATACACGGGTATTTAAAACACATTTGCGTATCCATACAGGAGAAAAACCTCATAAAATATTATGTAATAAAGCATTTTAGGCAGATGAGACCCACACAGGAGACACGCCCACAGGGACAAACCCTCATGTGTGTGATATATGTAAAAAGTCTTTCCATCAAAAACAGAATTTGACAACGCATATGCGTATTCACTCAGGGAAGAAGCCTCATGCGTGTCATATATGTAATAAGTCGTTCACTTATAAGTATGTATTGGTGGATCATTTACATACCCATACAGGAGAAAAACCTTATGTTTGTAATGTATGTGACAAATCATTTAAGCATAAGCAAAATTTACTGGCACATATGCATTTCCACAAAGGGGACAAACCACATGTATGTAATGTTTGTAATAAATCATTTGTACGAAAACAATCTTTAGAAGCTCATCTGCGTGTTCATACAGGAGAAAGGCCTTTTGTTTGTAATGTATGTAATAAAACATTCACACAGAAACAGGAATTAGTTGTACATATGCGTATTCATACAGGAGAGAAACCTCATAAATGTGGTGTGTGTCATAAGTCATTCAACCAAAGCAGAATTTAATGGTGCATGTGAGTATCCATACAGGGGAAAGAAATCATGTATGTGATATATGTAACCAGCATTTCACGAACTTCTTTCAAGAAAACACTGAAACGCTCATCGGAGATCATAGTCTGTCATGGGCCTATGCAGAAAAGGAACCTTTTGTATGTATGGCTATCATCATGCCAAGAAAAGTTATGGTGCTAGGCGTAGTCAGCTTTAATGCCTCATGTAAGTGATAAAGGTAACAAGTCATTCACAGGAAATCATGATTTAATGAAACAGATACATTTTGATAGTGATGAATCGGATGTAGATGATATCCCTGTTAATGACAGTTCAAGAAATTTTACATTGCTGTCAGGATCAAATGCATGTGTGTCGAATCATGATTCTCCTGTTGAGGGGTCTAGGTCAGTTGTCTATCAGCCTTCTAAAATTGATATCCCTGTTAATGACAGTTCAAGAAGTTTTACTTTGCTGTCAGGATCAAATGCAGTGTCGAATCATGATTCTCCTGCTGAGGGGTCTAGGTCAGTTGTCTATCAGCCTTCTAAAATTGATATCCCTGTTAATGACAGTTCAGAATTTACTTTGCGCCGGACAAATCAATGTGTCTCGGGACCTCATGCTCTAGGTCAGTTTTCCATGCAAAATTCTTTGATATCCTGTAACAGTTCAAGAAATTTTACATTGCTGTCAGGATCAAATGCATGTGTGTCGAATCATGATTCTCCTGCTAAGGGATCTAGATCAGTTGTCCTAAAAGACTATCTAGATCAGCCTTCTAAAATTGATATCCCTGTTAATGACAGTTCAAGAAGTTTTACTTTGCTGTCAGGATCAAATGCATGTGTGTCGAATCATGATCCTCCTGCTGAGTGGTCTAGCTCAGTTATCCATCAACCTTCTGAAACTGTGCCGCCCTTGAAGACACCAGTTATAACTTGCACAGCCCTGAGAACAGCAGTTATAACCCCTAATCCCTTAAGGACAAGTGTTATAACTCATTGTCTCCCAAGAGCAACAGTTATTACTCAAGGACCCCATTGTACAGTGTAAGTCACTGTAACATTAACAGTAATTTTCAGGTTAAATATTTTTGCAGGTTACAATTGCCATATATCGGAAAAAAACTGGTATTTATTTTTGTATTTATTTTGTTTGGAAAGCAGTGTGCGTAATAAAGTAAACAGATATTTAAATTAAAGAAGGGAATGTTGTGTGAATGGATGGAACTTGTAACTTAATCTCTCAATTATGCATATTACATAGGTAAAAAGCAGCCTTGTTTTATCATATTCTTTGAGTATTTAGCTTTCTTCCCTTCCTCTTGAAGAAGAGGCATCTGTGCCTTATTGACCTCAAAATCAAGAGTTTTATTCAAAATGTATGCCAAACTTAAGTTGCTTTTTTGCCTAATGTAACATTTTACCTTTTTTCTTCCTTTTAATCTATAATCTGATTTATCTAATGTGATGAATATGCCCGGTTACTACTGTGCTGTAAATGTGTATTTTTATATCTGATATTTGGATTCTTTGATCATTTTTAAATGATTGAACCTAAAAGCTCTGTGTTTGTTTTTAATATTCAATGGAATATTTGCAAAGAATTTAACTATAAAAAATTCAAATTTGCAATATCTTTGTGTCTCTCAATTGTTATACATACTTATTTTCTTATCACATTATATTCACAAATGTTTTATTTAATTAAAATGTTTCATGGTTTTCTCTTTCTCAGCAAGCATTAGCTCACCTTAAAAAACACTTGATGCCCAGTAAATTTTGCAAAAAGATTAAAAAGGATTTTTTCAACTACTTACATTATAATTGTCTGATGTTGAGTGTAAAGGATAAACAGTTTATGTTTTATTGTTGCTGAAATCAATAGTAGCTGTAGGTGAATTACTTAATTAATACTTAAATTAATAGAGCTGATCTTTAGTACATGGCCAGCATCAGTTTGGCAATAGTTGTTGGCGAATAATAATTACAAAATGATAAATTAGAAATTATTACTTAAATTCGGATGAAAAAATAATATTTGGCCTTTTTTTAAAGCTGGGATAGCAACTTGAATAGTGATATAATACAAGCATGCATCAAGAAACTGTTTTTAAGAAAAAATGTAACTCTTTTGAGTAACAGTAATGCATTTGTTAATCTTACTTTAAAGATAAATTAATGGAAATGCATGTAAAAAAATTGGTATGGTTCTGTTATCGGGACCGGATTCAGATATCATGGAAAGCTGATGATCTGGCGAAAAGTCAAATTAATCTCCAAAATATTTACAAGACGGTTAAGGAAAATCCAAGGGAAAAAAAAAAAAAATACATTGCAGATATTGGTAAAATTAGAAATTTTTAGTGTAAATAAAGCAATTTGCCAAAGTATGTTTAAAAAAATTATAGTTTTTCATGCGCTTTAGACTGAATAATTTTTTGTTCCTGAAGAAATCGTATGGAAGATGTTTTTTCATCTTTAGGCATGTTCCAAATTTTTATATCTATGGTAAATACAATAATAATAAAAACACAAGTTACCGTTACATCTTTAGAATTTACATTCAAATTGCCAGTTTCGAAAAGGCATTCTTTTACTTTTTCTTAAAAATGTTAACATTATAACGACGTTAATCATAAACACTGGGGACTTCGTGTGAACCAATTGCTTTGTGAGTTTAGCAAGACATTTTGAGGTGAAACAGAACAGTACCCAAAAATTTTAGTAAGGAAGAAAGTCGGGCTTCTAAATAAAGGTTTGAAACCTCTCTTGTCATAGAAAATTGTAAATAAATATCCTATACACTAAATTCCCCCCTCCCGAATTTGAAATTTATCATTTTCTAGGAACAACATACAAAAAAGTATATTGTGTAATTTTCCATTTTCTAATTCTAAGCTATAAAATTTGTTAGAAAGAGGAAGAATATATGCATAAATATAGAAGCTAAAACATGCTTTATATTAGTGTATGTATACTGTTAATTATAAATACTGACACATTATGTAAAATCAAAGAATTAAAAGTAAGAGCAAGTAAATAAAAGACTTCAGTAAATTCGCTAGCTTGAAATTCAATTATTTCTAATTTTTGTTTATTGGGTCGATGCAGGTCTGACAGCAGGCCGGTGTAATTGCACCAGGTTGCAGAATTTAAGAGTGGCAAAATTTTCATAACTTAGAAGAACTAACAGAAAATTTTAGGTATAGCAAACTTTTTATAATTTAGAAAAGACAACAGCAAGTAGAGTTTTGGGGTGGCAAAATGTTTAGAATTTAGTGAAATTCAGAGCAGCAGAATTTTGAAGCTACAGAGATTTCACCAGGCAGCAGAAATACCTAGCATCAGCCCTAGTTTAGTGAAATAGGTTTATGAATATGCTACAATCATCTTCATTAAATTGTTAAAATATTAAGATTTAAAGTAATTGAAGTTTCTAAACTCTGTGGAAAATATCATAGGGATTTAAATACAATCCTTATGATACTAAAGAGGATAATTTATCACTTATCATACATAATTCTTTTCTAAGAAAATTATTTTGTTTATCACTACAGTTATTTGATTTTGTTTCAGAAATCTTTTTAGGATGAAAATGTATAAAAGTGTATAAATATTTGACATTCAAATGAAAGTTTCTGCTCGAGTAATACTAAGGCTGTTTCCACATTTTTTAGATGATTTTCAATGTATTTACCGGAATACTTTACCTAAAATGTTTATGTTTTAAATGTTCCATTTGATAACCCTTATTCTTCACCGTCTTTCTACACTGTAATTTCCAAGACAAAAAAGCTCTTTTTTTAGTAGCAGAAGTATTTTATCCCATTCCTCTTGAACAGATTTCCAAGTCCAAGGAGAATTGTAGGTCGATATCTGGACAATCTCCTTTTTTTAAAAGTCCAGAAGCACAAAAATCCAGGGATGATACACCAGGTTCTGCGCTCTGTTTAATTTTTATTTGTTGTTATATCAAAAACTAGCAACAATCATAAATCCCTTTCAAAAACTTTCTTTAGATTCTTTGAACCATTTTCTAAGATTTTCTTTCTTCTCTTCCATGATAATAAATGAATCACCTTTTTATTGCAGTCATTTAAGTATACCCAAGATTCATCTATTGTGACAACATTTATCAATTTTTGTCCGAATAATTGTTTTTCACAAGAATTCTGCCGTGCATTCTATTTAATATTTAAATCAGCATTAATCACTTTGTTTATAGTTCACACTGAACATTATAATGGTTTTGCAACTTTCCTGTTACTTGGAGGATTTTCTTTTAGCAATAAAGATCTTACTTTTGCAACATTCATTACGTTTTTTCCTTGGATACATATTTGAAACAATTTTTCTACTTGAAGCTAAATTTTGACTTTTTTCCTTTGCTGTTGAGAACATTACCATTAACATTAGTTACCTGTGACATCTATGTCAAAACTTCATGGCTGTCACAGCATTTTTTAGTAACTAAATATGAATAATTTTCTTTGGAAAGAGCACAAACTGAGCCTTCCATCCACTGCTTCTTTAAAAGGGCCATTTTGCATGAAAACAAAATTAAATTGTCAAATAGCAGGCGATAATTTAAACTTTCAAAAATACCGTTGCAGTTAAAAAAAATTTTACAAGCAGATGATTTTTTTTAAACACCAAAGTCATCTAAAAAATGTGCGAAAAGCTTCTGTTTGCTGTATGTATCAACAAATCATGAAATTGCTGTTATGAGATTATATTTTCAGAGATAATTATATGTATCTTTCTTAATATTTTTATATGAACTTTTGTTATTTGTATTAATAGAGAAAAAAATTACTTGAATCTCCCTGTGTATTTTTATGTGAACTTTTGCTGTTTCTATTTATAGAGAGGAATATTATTTGGATAGCTCTCTGTATTTTTATATGAAATGTTTTTATGTAGAGAAAAGTTATTTGGGTGTATCCCATTATTTTTATATGAATTGTTGCTAATTGTTTTTGTAGATCTCTCTCATTATTTTTATACGAACTGTTGCCGTTAAATCAGAAACAGTGTTTTATAACGGAAATTTGTTACTTAATTTTTTATTTAATTGCTTAGTTTTATTGTTTATTGTTTATACAATTATACATGTTCGTATTTACTCTCAGGGATAAGAAAAGTGTTGTGTTTAATTAGAACATTTTGATTAAAAAATGTTTAATTTAGCATTCAGTGTTTAACATACCATTGAATTGTAATACTTAAACATCATTATTTATGCATAATATTACCTAACTAATGGGTTTTCATTATAGGTTTTGTTGAATTTATTTCAGTATTTATATATTAACTAATAATAACTGTTATTCTTTTAAATGTTAACTCTTCAGTGATGGTGCCTATGTATTTTTGTTGTCAATAATTTTCCAATAAAAGCCATCTAGCTATTGCCAACAGCTTGTAATTTTAGCTGTTGTCTGTTAACCATTTATTTAGTCTTCTTCTCTGTGACACATTATATTTGTTTTTTAAATTTTATTTTTAGTCTTCATGATTTGCTAAATAATGGGTTGAGAGAGGTTGGTACAACTACCAAAGATTCTAAACACTGCTAAAAGAAAACACTGTAGACTGTGACTTAGCCACCATGCCTTGAACAGTTTCAACTTGGCATGCACGTTCCATGACTTCATGAGCCTGACGTCCTATTCTCAGCCTCTCGTTGAAGTTAGGTAGTCAGAATCGAAACTCATCACTCCATGCTACTCGTTTTTAGTCCTCTAGAGTCTATTCTATGTGTACTCTTGCCTTGGCGATTTGCAGCTCGATGACATGCATTCTCATCTTTTTCTTTTTGTATTTACCTTAGACCAGTATCTTATAAAACATTTCGCTATTTCTCCTGGGCCATCTGTATTGATAATCTCCACTGATAAACCATCTTAAACTTAAAAAGCCTTTTTGGGTAACTTTAAATAAGAGCCCTTTCAGACTTTTTTTTTTTTTTTTTTTTTATGTGTGATCAGAAAGGCAGAATTTTAAAAGAGCTTCTTGAGTTACCTTTCTAATGATGCAGAGAGTTATTAACAGTGTCAAAAACATAATTTTTACAACTAAATATTAAATGTATAAATACGCTTGTAGCATTTTCATGTAACAAAAGTACTTATTCATATTAATTTCTTCTGTGGCTAGGAATTGATTTAGTTTTAAAAATAAAATTTCCTTTTAACAATTTCACAACAGTTCCACCAAAAGACTAAAAGTTCTTTACATGTTTAAAAGAAAGGCGATTCATTAAACCTGTAAATGTTATTAAATGCTTAATTTTATTACTGAATTTTGAATACAAATCAGCTGAAATCGGAAAATGATTTTGTAGAATAATTTAATTATGAATATATTGAAGAATTTAATATTCGGTTATTGGATGTTTAAAAATAATTGAAAGGCTTTTAATGCTTGTTTAAAAAAAGGAGAAAATTTTTTCTTGCAATATTTTGTACTGATAATTTATTAAGTCTCTTGCTCACTTTTGGATATAGTTACAATTTATTAAATGAATTGAAATTCAGATTAAAAAATAAGTTATGTAAATCTTCTCAACATTTTTATTTTTCCATAATAACTATAGGAGGGGGGACCTGAGACTGTGTGTGAAAAATAAGACGATTTTTAAGTCACCACAATACCTTCGCACACTTTCATTGGAATGCAAGGAAGATTCCTGAAGATATATTGGGATGTGACATTAAGAAGTTGGGAGTATGTATTTAGGAGGTTAAATGGATATTCCGTAGTAAAGTAACTAGTACTTCAAATCCTCATAACGTCCTATAATGCTGTCGATACACCTACACAGGTTGTTCTGAGGATTAACTGGGATGTGACATTAAGAACTTGGGAAGATGTTTTTAAGAAGAAACTGGGATCTTAAGGGATATCCTAAGGATGTAGTAAGCAGTTTTAAATCCTAATAACATCCCGTACGCTGTCAGTGGAACCTATATAGGTTGTTCTGAGGATATAATGGGATGTATTTAGGAGGTTAATGGGATATTCCGAGATGTCCAAAGGATGTAGTAAGTAGGACTTCAGACTTTGATAACATTCCGCACCTTGTCGATGGGTCTTAGTTAGGATGTCCTGAGGATATACTGGGATGTGACATCACTCGAGGATGTGTTTAGGAAGTTTGGGGGATATCCTGGAATGTCCTGAGGATGTGCACTTATCCCGCGAACAACATCCTCATTATATCCCGAGGATGTTTTTGTGCTATGTGGGGGTGGTCCGTAAATTGTGCGTCCTGAGGAGCCGCGAAATATTGTAAAAGCTTCATATTTAATTGAGCCAAGGCATTTGACCTAACGAAAGAAAAACAAAGTAAGAAGCTAAAAATATGTATAATTTTTGTGTGGTTAGTTTTTACTTGACCCTGTATAAAAATAAGGTAGGGATTAATTCCTTATGTTCTGGAAGATCTCATAAAAAAGCATATATGAAAGCGTTGCCGGCTCGATTCAGTCAGTCCGCTTATAATCTAATAGTGAAATTAAACTCAATGCTTCAATAGGCAGAATTAGTTCACGTAGTAAAGTTAGTGTTATATTACTTCTTGTTTGTTATCTTTGATAAATAGTTTTGTGATTTGTTGTTGTATTTTTGATGGTGGACCGATTTTTGAACAGTACTGTACCGTTTGAGTACCGTTGCATGGTAGAAAATCTCCAAAACAGAAAAATCAAATTCCTGAGAAATGACAATGGTGGAGAATATATAAATGAAAAGTACAAGTACCTCCCTGCGCATAGGATACACCCCAACAAAAAGGTTTGGCAGAAAGACTGAACCAAACATTGATAAACACGACAAGATGCTTACTTATGGAGTCTGGAGCACATAACAGGTTTAGGTCTGAAGCAATGGCCACTGCGACCTGTCTCCACAACAAGCGCCCATCAATGGCAACTGATGGCGATATTCCAGAGGAAAGATGGTCAGGGTCTGGAATCAAAACAGACCACCTCAGGGTTTTCGGATGATGAACCTAGAGCCATGTTCGCTCATACACAATAGAAAGCAAGCTGGATCCTAAAGCTACAGAATGTGTTTTTGTGGGATATCCTAAAGGAGTTAAGGGCTACAAATTGTATGATCTGAAGAAGAAACATTTTTTTTTTTTTTTTTTTTTGTCAGCAGAGATGTCATTTTTGAAGAAAATATTTTCCCCTTAAAACTAAGCAAGTGTGACAATCCTGCAGAAGAAACTGCTCTTAAAATTGAAGACTTTGAATCAGAATATCCTCTGGACCTACCTGAAACAGAAGCTTGTGACTCATCTGTAGATCACATAACTCCTGGTGTAAATGACTCGGATGAAACCCAATATCTAAATACAGATCCGATTGACCAAAATTCTGAAAGATGTCCAAACCTACAACTCGAAAATACCCCAGATTACGAAGATGAAGGCCAATCAGTTACACAAGTACGAGACTTTGCTAACAACCGAGATCCCGAAGTCTAAGTAGCAACCAGAAATACCTACCCATGGGAGTGAGAGAGGTGAAAAAAGAAATACCAGAGTTCCTAAACATTTCGAAGATTTTTATCCGTACGATGCCCAAGAGATACAACAATTTGAAGAAAAGTATCCAGTAATTCTAAAAGATGTACTGAAATCACCCGAAGTTGGCCTGTGGTTAAAAGCCATGGAGGAAGAAATTCAAAACCTCACTCAAGCTCCAACCTGGGAACTAACTACGAAACCATGAGGAGCTAAGGTAATACCATCCAGATGGTTGTTTCATAGGAAAAAAGATGAGATTGCGAACCAGCAAAGTTCAAAGCCAGATTGGTAGCAAAAGGCTATCTGCAAATACCTGGAGTGGACTTTCAAGACACCTTTTCACTAGTCTGTTGTGTCCCCTATGAACAGACAATATTAATTAATCCGGAAAGCATTCCAACAGTAAGTAAGTAATACAGCACTTACCTAAATCATCGGGTTCTTCATTCAGAAATATTCAAAAATACAAACAGGATCAGCTTTTTAAAACTTTAATCTGTGCACAAGTTATAACAAAGAGCTTATTACAAGCGATCAAAAACTACACAGCCATTTTCTAAAACATCCAAAAACAAACTAAAAATAGAACATTGATTATATAAATCGTTGAGCGTGCAATAAGTTTCATGCAATCTTTCCTTATTAGTTCAATACATTATGCGCGCGCACAGGCGGAAGTATCACGTATCCCAACACAGTCATCAAACTTAAATCTATAAGGTTACTGCTTGCCATAGCTGCAGAGAAAAACCTAGAGGTTCACCAAATGGATGTGACAGCTGCATACCTTAATGAAATTCTAAAAGAGGACATCTATATAGCACAGCCAGAAGGCTGCATTGAGAAAAAGAAAAAACACCTTGCTGAAGAAAAGGATTTATGTTCTCCGACAATCAGGACGTGCATGTAATACCTGCTTGAATGATTTCCTGATCCAGTATGGATTGAAAAGATCAAGTGCAGACCCTTGCATTTACTTTTGTCATGAGAAGAGCATCATAATTGGAGTTAATGTTGATGACCTGATAGTTGGAAACATGTCAGAGAAAAATAAATTTAAGGAAAGCATCAAGAAGAGGTTTAATGTCAAGGACCTAGACACTGCAAGCCAGATTTTTATCCATGCAGGTATGCAAAGAAGAAAATGGATCATACACACTAGAACAAATCGTTTATGCATCAGAAATCCTAGAAACGTTTAAAATGGCCAAAGCAAAATGTGCATCCACGCCACTGGACCTCAGCATAAAATATAAGAATGTAGATGAACAACAGTGGGAGGAAATCAAAGAAAACAGCGAGGAAATTCCTTACAAATAAGCTATAGGAAGTCTTCTTTATCTGACTTGTGGTACTCGCCCAGACATGGCTTATTCTTCCACCTACATGAGCCAATTTAATGAAAAACATACTAAAGAACACTGGAGAGGTGTGAAAGACATTCAAAGATACCTAAAGGGAACACGACACAGTAAGTTGAGATTCCAGAAGACAGGTGAGTCACTTCAAGTCTACTCAATGCTGAGTGGGGAGGTGACAGAACTGACCGTAAATCTTATAATGCTACTCGCACGTGCTCCAATCTCATGGTCGAGCAAGAAGCAATCCACAACTGCTTTATCCTTGACAGAAGCAGAGTATGTGGCGATGTGTCTCACTGCCAAGAAAATCCTATGGATTAAAAATTTGATCAAGGATATCTGTATTGAATTAGCTGCTTCACCTCACAAAGTGCTAGTCGACAACCAGGGAGCAATCGTCTTAGCAAGAACTATGTTACTTCTAAAAAAAATAAGCACATCGATACTAAATTTCATATTCTGAGAGACCTAGTGAAATAAAATGTGATTGTATTTTCTCATGTGCCATCCAGCGACAATCTGGCAGATCCCCTAACTAAGCAGACCTCGAA